TACCAAATTTTCATTTCAAATACTGTACTTTTCAATTCTAGAATTTTAATTTCTAGTGGTTTTCTCTGTTAAGAATCTCCATCTCTTCATTCATTTGGACCATCTTTTTATTAATCTGCTTGAAAATTTATTTTTTGCTATTTCAACATCTGTGTCATCTCCAGGTATGTTTACATGGAGTGGTTTTTTCCTGGACTTAGAAGTCACATTTTTATTTCTTTTATTTACAGTCAGCAAATTTTTTATTTCATTTTGGAAAATGTAGAAGATATATTATAGAGATTTTGGTTTCTATCAGTTTCTGCAGAGTTTTGTTTTGCTCTTCTGCTAGGTAGTTGCATTATTGGTTGATTATCTTGTAGCTTGGTTTTATGCTTTGTTAAGGCAGGTCTGTAGAAAACCCAAATTATATACCAAGCCCTTCTGATTAGTCTCTTCTGTGATACCCAACAGCTGAAATCTGTGCTCAGTTATTTTAGCCATCCAGCTGTTAGCTTTCATTTGAGCTCCTCATATTCTCCCCGAGATTTACGTTTTTTAGAGTTCAGCCAAGCATTTCAGGGAAGGCTGAAGGCAAATTTTTGGATCTTCCCCAACTGTGGCTTTCTCCTTTCTGTGTCTTCCCTCCCTAATTTCTAGCCACATTTGTCATTCTGAAATTTTATCTTCTGGCTCCTTAAGCAAAGACACTAGCTTTCTTCTTGTGCAGCTACCACATGCCATGTTGACTTGGAAGTATGCTCACTAGATAAACCATTCAGATTTGGATTTTACCCAGAGTCTGTCTGGTTTTGTTCTTTTTTTTATTTTTAATGTCAGACAGTGTGCTGATGTTGTGTAACAAGATTTATGGGAGGCACATCTCACGCACGCACATGAAAACTCAATCATCACGCTTATGAAATACAAAAGGATGGTGGTTTTGTTCTTTCATTGATTAGATCTTTTCCAGTTTCTTCCTACTCTTGTTCATTTTCTTTTACCTTCAGATAGTGGTTTATAAAAATTTTATCCACAATTTACAGTTGTTACTTTCAAGATTAGTTGAATAGTAATTACTCTGCCATTACAAAAACATGAAATCATGATTTTTTTTTTTGAACTAGAATTTTGAGGATACAGACTGGCTCTAATTAGCATTTTGAATTCAGTGTTATGTCTGCATTTTAAGTGTGGGTATTCTAATACATTCTGATTTAATTTGTATCTCAGTCTCTTTTTAATGGGTCTCTCAATTCTATACTATACATCTGCAAATTGATAATTTCTTAAATCAGTAAATTCAACATGTTGCTAAAGTAGACTTATATAGCCTATTTATAGTACTTTATATGAACTTTATATGAAAAATTCAACGAAATCCTTAGAAAGCTTTACCTTGTTATCTGTTAAGTTTATGATTTTTTAAAAAATTGTAGTCAGCAAGTTTAACAGGAGTTTTGAATGTACAATACAGTATCACTAACTATAGGAACAGTGTTGTATAGTAGATCTGTAGAACTTCATCTTCCATAGATGAAACTTTGTATCTCTTGGATAGCAATTCCCCATTTCCCCTCTGATTTTACTCTCTTCTGATAATGTTTTAAATGCCTTATAAACATAGAATTTTGCATAATCATGATTTTTCCAATTATCATTTTGCTGTTTCTAATTTTAGTCCATTGTGGTTGGAAAAGATACTTGGTATGATTTCGGTCTTCTTAGGTTTGTTAAGACTTATTTGTGACTAACATGTGACCCATCTTGAAGAACGTTCTGTTCGCACTAAGTATATTCTGCTGCTGTGGAGTGGAATGATTTATATATGACTGTTAGGCCTATTTAGTCTATACTGTTGTCCGGAGTCATACTGTTTCATATTAATTTTTGGACCATTTTATAATTTTGCTTCTTATGGGGTTTGGGTGCTAAAGCAATTGGAGTATGTTGAAAATTTGTTACTTGATACACTTCAGGAAAACAGCAGTAGAACTCACTGATAGACTTTTCATTGTTTAATAAAACATTTCCTCATTCCATAAAGATCCCTATACTCTTTTGCAGTCAATCATCTACTTTGAAAAGCAATCACAAACTTGATTTTTATCATCATGGTTTTTTTTTTCTGTTTTAAATTGGCATATACATATATATAGATAGATATAAAATATATATATATCATATATCTATTATACATATACATATACATATATATCACATATAAAATATATATCTATAGTTTCTTTCATTCAATATAATATTTTTGAGATATATGCTTGTGCATGTTACATCCATGACTAGTTCAGTTTCTTTGTATTACTAAATGGTTATTGCATTGAATTTTATATCATTTGTTTCTAATCCATTTTAGTATTGAGAGTCAGCTGGATTGTTTGCAGTTTTAGTTAGTATGAATAAAGCTGTTCTTAACATTCATGTAAAAGGCACTTTGTGTGTGTATTTTTTTCCTTCTCTTATCTTGGGTGGGATTGTTGTGTCATAAGGTATGTATATTTTATTTTTTAAGAAACTGCTGGCTTGGTACCCATAGCATAGTGGTTATGGTGCCGGCCATATACACTAAGCCTGTCAGGTTCAAACCCAGCCCTGGCCAGCTAAACAACAATGACAACTATAACCAAAAAATAGCTGGGCATGGTGGTAGGTACCTGTAGTCCCAGCTACTTGGGAGGCTGAGGCAAGAAAATTGCTTAAGCCCAAGAGTTTGAAGTTGCTGTGAGCTGTGACACCATAGCACTACACTGAGGGCAACATAATGAGACACTGTTTGAAAAAAAAGAAACTGCCTCTTTTCCAAAGTATTAGTTTATACTCCCACAGGCAATATATATGATTTTGGCTACAGATTTTATTTTTATGTCAAGATTCTGTTATATAATACAGGTAATTTTTAATATTTATTTTTAATTCCTGATAAATTCTTCTGATAAATAGTCCTCTCTTTTTAAACTAAAAACTCTCTGAAATGGAGATCTCAAGAATGTTATGTTTTATTTTTATAGGTAATGGCCAACTCTTTCAACTAATTTTAAATGCTCTAAAAGTAGATTGAATGCTAGAATAGTTTTTATTCATCTTCACACACTGTAGATATTTTTAAATACCTTGAATTCATTTCTTCTGCATGTAAGGCTTACATATTAATTATGAGAGTTCAGAACTTAGAAATCTGAACGTGGCAGTAATTTTTGCTTACATATTACCATAACAAGTATGCATGAGTGTTTTAGCTCATCCCACGCTGTGGTATTGTCAGGGGTTTCAACTGGCTGTCTTCTTGGTGTGGTTACCTTTGTTCTATGCCTTGGTCATCAGTTGACTCCTTTAAGAAGGCTGCCTTGCAATGTCATGCTGTTTACTAGGGTGTCTGGGTAAATGAATATAAGTGGGTAAGTAAAAAGACACAACTGCTGTTAGAAAACCTGTCCTTAGATTAAGTAACATTGTCATTTTGCACATTGAGCTGCTTCTGTGAATTTAATACAAAAGGTGGTACAGACTAAGAACTAAATGTCTCTCTGCTCTTTGTAATTTGAAACAACATATTAGATGACACTTAAGAAACAATATAACTTATACTCTGTGTGACATAGGTTTTATGAGTATGATACCAATATTAAGGAGACCCTAATAAGGGTACCGTAGTCTGGCAAGTTGTTCAGATGACGAGTTAATTAAGTGGAGAGAAGATGGAAGTGCTAAGAGGAATAATAGGAGCAATGAAATGTTCATGACTGATGCTGTGTATGATGAATATGCCTCATGAGGGTTTAAGCTGTAAGACCCTAGAATGTTAGCTCCTTGAAGGCAGGATCTGTATGTCTTGCATATCTCTATCCTCAGCATATGTATCCTTGCATATCAACTATCCTCTGTCATGATAGTAATATGTGTCATTGTAAGAAAGTAATACATATTTTTTATTTTATTTTTAATTTTTTAAAATTTTTTTTGTAGAGGCAGAGTCTCACTTTATTGCCCTCGGTAGAGTGCTGTGGCATCACACAGCTCACAGCAACCTCCAGCTCCTGGGCATAGGCGATTCTTCTGCCTCAGCCTCCCGAGTAGCTGGGACTACAGGCGCCC